GTAGTTGTAGTCAGAGAAGTAGTTGCAGGTACTGGGGTAGTTGTAGTTATAGGAGCAGGCGTGGCAAGTACTCTAGCTTGCCCCATACATGTCCCCACGTTTCCTGCCCTGTCCACAGCAGCTAGAACCACATTCTGTGAACAGCAGGAGGCAGTGTAGGTCACCAGTGTGATATTCTCACCCCCTGCTCCAACCGCTGTGCTAGTATCAAGGGTACCATTCCCTTCGCGGAGGGTGATGCTTGCGATGCCAGTCCCATTGATGCCGTCAGTGAGATTAGCAATGAACTCCCATTGAGATGATGCACAGAGGATGGAAGAGACATTACAGATACCTGATATATTAACTACCTGGCACACTGGACCGGACAAATCTGTGGCCTGAAAAAAGAGAGAGAAAGGAGATCAAGTAGTCAGAAAGGCAAAAGAACAGGAACAAAAAGAATCTGGTATAGATGCTACCTTATATCTCTGTTCTTTCATACTTTCAGAGTTTTCTTTTGTTTTTGAATATTACTTAAAAAATGTGTATGAAACGCCTAGTGATGGGAATTCCGGCTCTTTTTAGAGAACCGGCTTATCGGGGGGGCGGTGACCTTGGTTCAGGTGGTTGGGAAGCTCATCTGTAACCGGAAGGTTGCCGGCTCGATCCCCCAATTCTCTTGGTCCTAGTCATTGTGTCCTTGGGCAAGACACTTTACCCTACCGCCTAATGGTGTTGGCCAGAGGGGCCGATGGCCCGATATGGCAGCCTCGCTTCTGTCAGTCTGCCCCAGGGCAGCTCCAGTGTCAACAATAGCGGGCAGCTCCAGTGTGTGAATGTGAGAGTAAATGAATAGTGGAATTGTAAAGCGCTTTGGGTGCCTAGAAAAGCGCTATATAAATGCAATCCATTATTATTATCCTCTTCAGGGTCACCGAAGCCTATCCCAGCTGTCATAGGGCAAGAGGCGGGGAACACCCTGGACAGGTCACCAGTCTGTCTCAGGGCTAACACATAGAGACAGACAACCATTCACACTCAGGCAATTAACCTATCCCCACTAACTGCATGTCTTTGGACTATACCCGGGGAGAACCCACACAAACACAGGGAAATTCAGAATACTTTATTGATCCCTAGGGGAAATTATTCTTCCCTGCAACATGCAAGCTCCACACAGAAAGATCCTGGCCTGATGGTAGAATTGAACTCAGCAGCAACAGTGCTAACCACCGTGCCACCGTACTGCCTGAAATATGCAAAACAAAAAAAAAAACAAAAAAAAAATGAACGCCCAGATCTTTAATTAAGGGAAAGGTTGGCATTTAGAAATATTAATATCAAACTGACTGTGTTTTATCTTTCCATTGTACTGATGGGTGGACAGTTCTCAGGTGCCTGTGCATTTTATTTGTGGAGCCAGCTCTATATGATAGTCTCTTCTTGCAGACTCTCCACTCTCTCTCCACATGGTTCCAGATTTTGCTTCTTTTCTTGGTGTTACTCATTTTCTTTACCATACCTTTCTAATGTGACGATGTTGTCTCTTGTTGTTGCCCCTGGTGTTCTGAGAATCCATCCTACCTGACAAACCATCCTACCTGTTGTTTATGCGCATGCGCACAACACAAACTTAAGTGGCGAACTGTCCTACCTTTGTGAATATTAGCTAGAAAAATACTCTGATGAGTAAAATTAAGTGCCAAACCATCCTACCTTTGTGAATATGAGCTAGAAGCATACTTTAACAGCTAAAATTAAGTGGAAAATCATCCTACCTTTGTTAATAAGATCTAGAAGGATACTCTGTCGGGTAAAATGAAGTGCCAAACCATGCTACCTTTGTGAATGTTACCTACAAGCATACTCTGATGGGCAAAGTTAAGTGGCAAACCGTCATTCCTACTTAAATTTGTGCTGGAATTACTCTGTGACAGCAGAAATGTGCATAAATGTCTTACGGTAGGACATTTTGCCAAAGTAGGACGGTTTGTCAGAATACCGGCTCTCTTTGTCTCTCTCGCCCTCCTGCTCTTTTTGTGTGCTACTGCTGTTGTGAGTGTAACTACCGCCCCCGCCCCCTCTGCTCAGGGGCACAAACAGAGGCTTGCGTTTTCGCCCCTCCCGTCTCTGCTCAGCATAAACACGAGGCTGACGTGCAGCATGAAGCGAAAAAAAGTGAAAGAGAGGGCAAGACAAAGAAAAAAAAAACCCCATGGCTCCCAATAAGGAGCCAGCTCGCATCGGTCACTTCAAAGAGTCGGCTCTAAGAGCGACGTTCGTTTGCGACTGGCCCATCACTAGTAATGAGATATTATTGTTTACAAAAAAAAACTATGTCCCGAATTAAAACTCACTTTAATTGATATTATGGGTTATAAATCCAGACGTTTCATTCAAAATGACTCACAAAATTTGTACAACCCCGATAGTAGTATTACTGTTTCAATAATTTAGCAAATCTGGGCGACAAAAAGAATTTAGCACAGTGGTCAAATGACCCTATGCCAAATAACAAATTGTTTGTAAAAACCATTGAACAGCTGTGGAAAAGAACATTTCATTTTTGGATTTACTAATACAATCATGATCAGAAAGTTAACAGATTAATCAATGGATTTCTTGGATGAAATTTGTAGCATGACCCTTTACATTGTCCACGCAGTGAATCATGTTTTTTTTCTTATTTTGAACTAGAACATATGCAGTACTAATTCATCACTGAGCTGATTCTTTTAAAAGCTCTCCTCAGATCACAGTTGAAGTATTATATAAACTGAAACATTTGACATTTGACAATACAGAACAGTGATACATTTAGTTTGGATTATTAGTTTTTTTTAAATGTAAAACACTGTTTTTAGTCTCATTTCACCTAAAGTCTTTTTTCTTTTACCTTGGCAGCCACAGAAAATCGGAGGACAGCATAGTTGATGTCAGTGGCAGCAGCGTTTTGTGCCTGAATGGTGAGGGTCACGTCTGTTCCTGATTTAGTGCTGGCTGGAAAACTTAAGCTTATTGTCCCATTGGCTTTGCCTCCATCGCTTGGACCAATATTGAGATTTCCAGGTGAGGTGAAGTCAAAGCTGCGGTCATTACTGACTTGCACTGTGAATGTCCCAGTTACATCCGAAGACACTGTAAAAGGAATGGTGATGCTAGTGCCTGGTTCTATGTTGATACTGTCAGCTTGTGCCTGGAAAAATAGTGATAGAGGGCAGGAAATTTGAAGTTAAACAATCACTCATTTCTTTTATATAATGACATAGAAAATAACATGACAGTGGTTGTTGAGTTTATCCAGGCAAATAAGATATTTAGAAACTGGCTCTAGAAATTCAAAAAACAACATATGACTCTACTACTCACAGCAACAGAGAGACTAGCTGTTGTGATGCGGGTGGAGGCTTGTCTCTGGAAGGTATCTGAGGTAGACCGGGATGTGGTGCTGGTGTCCTCACCTTGCAGTCGAACTACATAGTCTCCTACTGGGACTTCAGTGAATGTTACCAGAAAGTTGCTGTTTTCTAATGACTGTGGAAAACAGAAAGATAGCAACTGAGAGCGCCTTATGCATGTTTAGATACATAAGTTAGTTGTTAGATGGTGGCAACAATCAGTAATCAGAGTAAACAAGCAACCACCAAAGACCAATGTTATTTATGTATCTTTTACTTCTTGGTGTTTTCTTAAGCTGTTGTAAAACTACAAAAGTTATGTTTATAACACTATGTTTGACAGTGCAGTTAGCATAGACTAAAAGCAACTAAGTCTAGGAATGCTTGCTGTGGTCTGTTGTAGTTTCAGTTGTAATTTTGACCTTTTACATTTATCAGGTGTAAAATATGACATGCCTGTATTGATCCAATCAACTCCTTTGGCCCTGAACTGTCGAAGAGCGTGAGCTTTGTGACTGTTACTGTATCACTTCCTGTCACAGTGACCAGGAGAGTGACATTACCACCTGAAAATGATAGCAAGCCACAAAAGAGTATTATTACAACAGATCCTTAGACTGTACGTGAACATGTAAAAATGCTGTTATGTTGTTAGAAATGGATAGGGTAGATAACGTTGCCTTTATTAGATTTGATAGAGGGCTGTAATAATGCTAACAGTACAGAAATCATATGTTTATGTATATGGATGGACACCAATTGCCTTTCTGCAGTTAGTCATTCGAAAGTACTGAAATTATGCCTGCACCACATGTGTTTTTAAGACCTCTGAGGGGAAATCTTCTTTAAACTTGAAAGTTTATGTTTATCTAAACAAAAAAGTTGGAAGTTTTCTACCCAGAAACATAAATCAATGTAATCATTTTCATGACTATTTAGGTCATCTCAATTTCCCACAAACCAAATGATACATTTTTGTTTAGTCAACCTGTAGCAGCACGGCCTTCCTTGGGTCTGATGCCACCTTCCTTTTGTAATTCAACAAGGTTATAGATGAAGTTCACTGAACTTTGACCTTATGCACACAGAAACCACATCTAAGTTAGAAATATTATACCACTGAAAACATTTTCTACAGACTATTTCCTAATTATATTACAGACCTGTGACTTTAATAGAGTAGGGACTGTTAGAGTTGATGTGGATTTGCCAAAAACCCGTTTGATTTCCAGCATTGAGCCTTATTGTGCGTAGGTTTCCCACTGTTGTTAAGGATGCCAGAGAACCAATGGTCTGACTTGACTCCTGAGACACTCCTGAAAAGAGAAAAATGGCTGAATTATTTACCAGCATGACAATGAAATTTTCTTCCTCCTCCTAAATTTGTAATTGTGACTGTTGTTGTGTTTATTACTACTGTGCTATTACTGCAATTCATGGGTGTGAGACACTTGCAAATTACTCCATTTCTGTAATAGGCAAATGAATTCCAATCCACCTGCACAGTTACTACTAAATAAGAAAATAAAATTATGACTAGTACCACTACTGTACATTCTTAACCTTCACCTGACTGCCCAAACAACAGCATTGCACAGGAGAAATCAAAAGGCAAAAAGCAGAGACCAGAGATCAGGTCAGATGAGGAACTTCCAGAGAGCCAAAGAAATAAAGCAAAGCTGACACAAGGTGGGAAGTGCCTTGTCTTTGTGAAATATTACGTTTTAGAAAACTGATGTCCAAAAAATATCGTTGAACTGAACCTGCTGAGCTGGTGAGTGTGAAAGTGAGAGATGAAACTCCGGTGATGTAAATGATGACGTTGCTTACTGATGAATCAACAGTAAAATTAAAATTATCAGGTCGCCCCGGATCCATTACTACCTGGAAAACTGTCACCTGAAAGACAAAGAAACAGAAGCAGTGAGAAAGCAATTTTGAAAGAAAATCTGTTAAATATCTGGCCCCAACTTATCAAAATGTAGTCCTTCACAATTTGTAAACATGTTAAGTAATTCCTGTTAATGCTCAGTGTCTCACCACAGCACCAGCTGATGAATCTTTTATAACAGTAGTGGCCAAGGAAAGATCTGACTTCCTGACTTCAATAGCCTGACCTCCAGAAGCTTGGGCCAGGTCTCTGTATAGCTGGACATTTGATAGCCTCACTGCACGAAGTGAAAAATCTTGACCATCAATACTGCGGCGCCGCCGACTGAAAAAAAAGCTTGTCAACAGGAAAGATACCTAAAAGTGAAGGGATAGAAAAATGCATCAGTTTATATATATCACGCTCAGTGGAAACTGGATAAGTTCTATCTAAAGTATCAAAGAGCCCTAAAGTGACCATTCAGTACATGGATAAATGAAACTATTTACTGAGGTGTTGCTCTAGGATTGGACTAGCTTGAGTAAAACTGACTTTTTTGTAAAGAAAAAAAAAAAGCTTTTGTAAAATTTGATAATGGACTGGCATTTATGTTGCCATCAAGCTATATTGACCCTTTTCACCAGTAATTATTTAGCAGCTATCTACGTTTCACTCATATCTACAGCTAATTCAAAAAATATTAATTAATTCACCATGCAGAATTTTGTATACAATTGTGCAAACACACAGGCGGTGAAAGAACATGTAAACTCCAAACAGGCCTGGATACCCAGTGTTTAAAACCCAGAACCTCCTTACTGTGATCCTACAGTAATAAACACGGCACCACTGCGCCACACTGTACTTTGCTCCACCAGAGTATTAACCTTTTTTTCTGTTGTTGTTGTTTTGTTTTTGTTTGTTTTTTTACACATTTTTGTAAGCTGGAATTACAATTCATAATTTATTTATTTTTACATTTCAACAAAGAATACTCTTTCCTTTCTGCATGTTTTTATTTGGCAATTTCTTCATCAGCTGAACTAACATCTAAAGTGCAACAATAATAAGAATGCAACTTATCCTCACACATACCTCAGTCTTGGTTCTCTCTATAAGGGCAATGTTGGTGCTTTTTAGATGGGAATCTTTGGCTGAAGCATCAGTGAAAACATAGATTTTAGAGGAAGGTGGAGCTGATGTCAGCGCAAGCTATCAGTTATACAAATGACAGAAGAATTAAACATTATTTGTTGTGATTTACCAGATGTGCAAAACTGTAATTCAGAAAGTGATTAAAAAGTAACAAAAAAGCAAGTTCTGATAATGCATGCACACAGTCATTCTGTTATTACATAATAGGACACAATAAGTTCATATTAATTTCCATAATTTCCTAACTATGTCCTTTGCACTAACTGCAAATACCCCATTTCTTCATCCTAAATTCATAATTCACATCACACAAATTACTGTGTAAGCAGATGCATGATATGATAGAACACAAGTACACTCACTTGCAGTCCAGACATGCTCATCTCTGGTTCATCCCCTCCTCCGGATGCAGTGAGCTTTTTGATTTCCTCTTTGAAGTAGTTTTTGTCAGTTGTCTTTATCACAGGTCCAAATTCTTTTTGGGGGACAGAGAAATAAATGAACTTGCAGATTTTTGTAGATGTGCTTCATTTGTTGGCTCTCTTTGGCAACATGGGAAATATCCATAAAAGTGGAAGTACCTGGGTCATTGAAAGGTACCAGTATGTACTGAGAGGGTTCCTGTAGCGTTCCTGCATTACTGTCAATTATGTTAAAGGCAACTTGTTTTGCTGCATCGATGTCATCAGCCATACTGCCTGTAGTGTCAATGACAAAACACAGTGCATAGGACTGAGAGAGGCCCATCAACCTGGAGGAACATAAGTGACAAAACAAAATCATCCCTTTGTTATTCTGTAAGGAACCCAATTCCTCTACATTCAGAATGATGCAGAGGTATCTTTGCAGAAACATGTGCATCATAAAAAGCATCACTTTTAAGATACATATTATCTTCTGTGAGGAAGGCTTTTTACTATTTTTTCCTAGAAAGCTGTGTCATGAAAATAAATATAAACTGTTTCAATTTCAAATTTATTGGAGTTCTAGTAACCACTTCATGAGTGCAAGAATGTCTCTGATCAATTTTTCCTGTACCGCAAGAAGTTCCTGTCTCCAGCAGCTAGTCTGATGTCCTCCAGCAGCTCCATAGTAGCATCTACTGCCAGATTAGCTGCTTTTTTGTGCAACGTGCCATGATCTGATGTAAAAGAATCCTTATTGATGCCCCCAACTGGGTCCCTTTTTCTTGTCTTGTCAAGTAGACCACCATGGCTACATTTACCTGGACAAAAAAATAACAAATTACATTTAATTATACCTAGATAAATAGCTGAATAAATGATCAATAAGACAAAAAACATCCAAAGAGTTTTATAGTTGGGGTATGGCAATGAATAGGTGAGTTTAGGTAATCTTTAAATTAAATTCAAGGTGGGACAACACATCTATTTGTTGTAATATTTAAATTTGTAGCTTGTGGGCATTGTTAGATTCTAATATTATTTTATGCCATGTTATACCCCGAATTAAAGATTGTGAATTATTATGTAGTTTTAGTTTGCATTATTCTCCTGAATTAGAAGAAGCTGATAACTATTGCATTAGTTAAACTGAT